CTTGGAAACAACTGAAATGCCCATCAGTAGATGACTGGATTAAGAAACTGTGGTACATTTATACAATAGAGTATTACTCTGTTATAAAGAAGAATGAAATCGTACCATTTGGGACGATATGGATGGACTTAGAGACTATTATGTTAAGTGAAATAAGTCAGTCGGAGAAAGACAAATACCATATGATGTCACTTATGTGTGGAATCTAAAAAACTGAATGAACGAGCAGTAAACAAAAGTGATCTCAGAGATATATAGGAACAATTGATGGCTACTAGTTGGGAGGGGGTGGGGATGAGGGAGAAGGGGAAGGGATTAGACAGCATAAATATATAACTACAATATTCGAGGAATATAATTCTGATGTATAATATTGTATGTCAAGGGAATTGTAATAGATACGTATGATATTGGGGGGAAATGGGGCGGTGGATTGAGGGAGGGGGGTTGTCACCTCGAGAGGTAAAAAGTATAACTATTACACTGTGTTGTACAGCTGAAACTAATTCTAAAAATGTGTATTTCACAATAAAAAATAATTAAAAAAAAAAAGAGTGACGAACTTATGGTACGTGGAAGTGATGGTACCTATGGGACAACAGTAATTGATCATTGTGACTAACACATGCATGGTACTTACGCCTGGCACTGCCAGGCACTTCACTCACAGAGCTAACAGATCCTCACACTTCTAGTGGCTTTCCAAGGGTGGCACTGCCCCGTCTCCATTTTGCAGATGAGGATTGGGGTACAGAGTTGTGGAGATACCTGCACAAGGTCATATATAGGGGCAAAGGAGTAGGGCTGGCATTCTGCTCAGAAAAATGCATTCCTTCCATCACATCCTGTATTGAGTGTTTCTCTGATGTCTGAATTCCGGAGAGTAAATGTGGTTTTTTTGTAATCAGGACAAAACAAAAAGAAAAACATTTGAGGGAGCAGAAGGAGGTACTCACATGCTGATCGAAAAGGAATGCTGATTTTGCCCTGGATGCTGCTGATTGCAACGATGTGGCCCTGCTGCCGCTTGATCATGGAGGGCAGGAGTGCTAAGGAAAGAGGTCAGAGATGTTAGAAGAGGACTTTTCTTCTGGTTACTGCACCTAATGCTGAGAGCAGGTGGCTTCACTTATTGTTGGAACAAGGGAGGTGAACAGTGCAAGCCCCAAAGTGGGGAGGATCATGTTTTGTTGGAACTCTTAGGCCTCCTGTGCCCAGCAGACTTCCAGCAGGCCAGCGGGAGGGGGAATGGGGAGGGAACAGAGAGCAGACAGAAGCCTAAGCACAGGCACCAGCCAGCTCAGCTCCCTTTCCTAGGGAGAGCCCTTCCCCTGGAGTGAAATCCATGCCTGGACATGAGAGTATCTAAACTTCGTAGGGCTCTGCAAAGACCACTAAGAGGAAATGGAGGCAATGCTGTATAAATGAAGCTGTCAGTGAGGAGCACATCTTGATTTAAGGCTATAAAGCAGATAAAGAAAATGCAAGTAAGTCTGGGAAAAGCAAACACCCAAGCTGTAATGACAGCACCTTTCCTGGGCAAAGTAGAGGATGGGGACAGGCAACACTTAACTAACAAGGAACCAAGTGAAGTAAAAACAATGCCAACATATCAGTGTTCTTTTTTCTTTCAATCCAAGACTGCTACCTTTCGTCAGAGCAACTGGGCCAAAGTAGTTTATCTCCATGACTCGCTTGTCCACATCCATGGTGGTGTCCACGACAGAGCCACGGTAGCTGACCCCAGCGTTGTTGATGAGCACATCCACACAGCCACAGCACTGCAAGATCTCGGTTGCTGCTGCACCTATGGCCCCAGAGTCTGCGAGGTCGAAGGTCACCATGTAAGGCTTGTGTGTCTGCACCTGGTCAGGCAGGACAGAAATCAAATACACCTTCAGAGTGACAGTTCATGTGAACCATGTGTATTCAGAGTCCTAGAGTGGCCACGGAGCATGAAATGACACAAGCTGCAGCATCGATCTTCTAAGAAGATGTGGCCTGGAGGGTCCCGCCTACAGTGCTCGCACCTGACCCGGGCAACTTGTCTCCTGAACTGAAGATTATTATTAGAGCTAGACAGTAAACTCCACAGGGTGGTAAGGTATAGGGTGCTGGAGCAGATTACCACAGGGGGTAGTATTCATAGCTCCCTTTGCTGCCTTGTGCCAGCACTGTGCTGTACACTGTAACTAATTAAACAGTGTCCCTGTTGAGAAGTGCTGTCCTTCTCAGGTTAAGTCACTTGAATTTTATTTGATCATGAAATGTTTTCTATATATCCACTGTGTACCAGACACTGGGGACATAGCAGAAAGAAAGCAAGATAGACATGGTTCCTGTCCTGAAGTACACAGTCTAGTGGAGAAGACAGATGAACTCTAAAGAATGCCATGAAGAAGTATAAGAAGCTAGAGAAATGAATAGCTGAGCCATCTAACTTAGAGAGCTTCTCTAGTGAGTTTAACAAGAGATCAAAAAGGTAAGGGTGGTGGTGGTGGTGTGTGGTATGAAATCAGAGAAGATGCCAGAGTAGGAAGTGCCAGGAATCTATCTCCACCTGAACAACTGTACTGGCAGAAATTCTCCAAAGTGACCATTTTGGAACTCTGCAATCTATTTTAATGCTTGAAGCTTTCAGGAGAGTGCTTGGCTGGTAAATTATAGATAATTTTGGTCAATTTCAGCCATCAGCTCAGTGGTCAATTTCCTCAATCCACTGTGACAGACAGCCCACATTTCTGTTGCAGCTTGAGGGAGCCAAGGCAGGCAATAAGACCTTGTCTTCCAAAAATCTGGGTATTGTTCTGATGGTGGATTGCTGCTCTGATCACCGAGGTGTAGCACTGAGGCAGGTTGGATTTTTTTAACCACCACTGGCTGAAATGGCTTCCGTAAATTTAAATAAGTCACATATTTTTTCTTTAGTATTGAAAAATATAAATAAATCCACAGAAAACATACCTGAGGAAGCCCAGATGATGGGTTTTTTACTAAACCTATCTTAAAGACACTGAAAGTGCTAAAGGAAAACATGTATTGATGTATGAACAAAATGAAAATATTAATAAATAAAAATTATTTTTAAAATTCTAGAACTCAAAAGTATAACTGAAATGAAAAATACACTACAGGGGTTCAAAATAAGATTTGAGCAAGTAGAAGAATCAGTGAACTTGACGAGAGAACAATTGAAATTATCAAGCCTGAGAACAAAAAGAAAATAAGAATGAAGGAAGCTGAACAGAGCCTAAGGGATCTGTAGGACACCATTGGGTGGATCAACATATGCACTGTGGCAATCTGAGGAGGAGAAGAGAGAGGGAAAGGGGTAGAAAGAATATTTGAAGAACTGCTGAAAAATTTAGTGAAAAACATGAATCTCCACATCCAAGCAGCTCAATACCAAGCAGGATAAACTCCAAGACCCACACTAAGACACATTATAATAAAACCATTAAAAGACAAAAGAGAACACTGAAAACAGCAAGAGAGAAGCTGCTTCTCACATAAAAGGGAACTTCAATAAGATTTACCAGCAGACTTCTCATCAGAAACCTTGGAGGCCAGAAATGCTGAAAGAAAAAAAGACTGACAACCAAGAATTCTATACCTGCCACAACTATCTTTCAAAAAAAGAGAGAGATGGGCCGGCCGAGTGGCGCGACGGTTAAGAACTCGCTTGGGATGCCAGAGGGCCCCGGTTCGGATCCCACATATGAGGGCCAGTGACACT